TAGTAATATTCAGATGTGATCTTAGACCCTAAACCTATAGAATTACGTCTTTTTTTTTTCAGCAAATTAAATATGGTGTCCTCAAGGCTGAAATACACTTCAATGACTTTTTAAATTCTAACCAATTTTAAAACACTAGCCATCATACACTTGCTGACTTTATACATGGCTGCAGAGGAAAAACTGGGTATTGTACACTAAACGACTGAGGATCACACACTAGCAAACATGCACCTCATTGCTAGGAGAAGTATGACAAATAAAAACAATATTCTAAAAAGCTAACAATTCTGAAATTGGCTTAAAATATGAAATATTTAATTTCCTCATAGTCTGAAGATAAGAAATCAGAGTCTGTGCTCATCATACACAACTCTATTTACTGTGAAATCTCTCAGCTCCAACTGACCAAAACCTGCAGACAGGCCTTGACTTTCAGAAACTAGCGTTGTCTCGTCCAGACTGCAAATTGAGACAAAAATCTGCAAAAGTTGTGTGAATTCCAGAATTTAGGTTTGTTTCAAAGCCCTTTAGAACTCATTCAGCTATGTTAATCTGCATTACTGAGTCTGAGTACAGAATCTTCAACATAAAGCATGGGTTATACATACACAATACAATACGATTGGAACAGGTATGTTGACCTAGAACACAAAATATTACATTACATTTGTTTGTTTATTCAAACAAATTTTATCCAGTGGAATGTATGGCACATCCGTTCCAGGGATAATTCTCCTGGGGACAAACTGGTGTCAAGTGGCTTTATCAAGGGCACAATGGTGATAGTCCAAACCTCACCTGGGGATCAAACCAACAACCTAATGCCAGAGGTGTACAGAGTACCTGAAAACCATACTTGAATAAAAGTACAGATGCCTTACAGTGAAAATTACTCCATTACAAGTTACAAGTCACCAATTCCAATATGACTTGAGTAAGTCTTAAGAGTATCTGATTTTAACAGTACTTGTACTTTTACTCATACTGAATACAGGCTCAAACATGCAATAGTCCACAACACCTAGGAGACATGCTGGGGACAAACAAGAAACAGTTTATTTGTGAGGACAGCAATCATATTTTTATTTTCTAAAATCAAAACAAAACTGAACACCTCAAAATTGTAATAAAGTGGGTAAAGTGGACCGTTTTAGGTAAAGTGGGTCGTTTAAGTTTGATTGTACTCTGCTCAATGGGTTTACAGTTTCAGAGCATAAAAATTTTCTTTTTTTTATGCAATATGACACTGGTGGGTGTGGCCACACCTTAAAGGAGGACTGCCTCATGGTGAGAGGGAAAAAAACTCTTTGAAATAAGTGTTTTTATTTCTAACTTAAAAGGTTGATCACTAAATTTAAACAAATATTATTTTGCCTGAATGTGTTAGATAAAGTGGGCCAGTAAGTGACCTTTAATGTTTAGTTATTATGCTCAAAAAATTATTTTAAATGTCCCCTTAATTCAATTTTTGTTAGCCTATTTGTTGCTGCATGTGTTATAGTCATAGCCTTATTGACAAGTTTGGGTGAGTAAGGGCAAAACGCACAAGATATTGTACCTTCAATGCCTCATAGATGGCAATTTCACTTCTTTTGTATAGCAGAAATAAACTGCTGCAGAAAAAGGTGCCACGCAAAATGTAACTAGCAATTGCATTAGTCATCACAAATGTAGTGGAGTAAAGAGTACAGATACTTATTCAAAAATGTAGTCAAGTAGAGAGTAAAAGTTGCTAATATCTTTGATACTCAGTAAAACAGCTAAAATTATACTTAAGTGCGGTATCTAATTACATTTACTCCAATACTTTACACCACCGCCTAATGCACTGTGCACATGATTCCCATAAATCACATTCTTTAACTTCTCTGTAAAACTGATTTTTGGAACTATATGTATCGTGAAAGGTGCGACCATATTTTAGATTATATTTATTTGCATACTTTCTTTGTGGATTTGCATTTAGTCATAAAGGAAAACAAAATCTAAGTGATTGTTGCACTCATAACAACCAAATTTACCAGATTCGACTTGTTATCATGACAGACTTTGAATCCCAAAAATAAATACATTCCTATTTTCTTTTGACAGGTTTACGTGAGGTAAATTTATAGCAGTAAAGGGGACTAGTCATGCACCCTCATGTTGTTAAAAACCTGTACGATTTTAATTCATCTCAGAATAGGACAGTTTGCAGGATGTTCATGCTTTTCCATATACAATGTAAGTGGATGGTGACCAGGAGCAGTCAAGCTCCAAAAATGAACCGTAAAAGATAATCATTAAAGTGCATATTACCCCTGCACTATTTTCCAAGTCTTCTGAACTCAATACATAGCCATAATATAATTGTGTGAAGAACAGACAGAAAAAGGCTAAATGTGATTTACTGAAAATATTTCCCCTGCTGTTTTGACATTTGAGAGCTATTCCTCACACAAAACTGATGAACAATTGTGTTTTTCCCCAGTGATCAGTGGATGATTGGAATAATAACTCATGTCATGTTGTCTCTATCTTTCTGTCAAATATTAAAATCATTAAAATGAATCTTTTAAACCTCATCCTCTTTCTATACTATTAAGTAGAGCACTGGCAGTGTCTTCTGTCTTGAGAAGAAAACACCTTTTAACAGTTACATTTGTCATTTGAAGGGTTAAGAATGTTTAAACATTTACTTAGATAACCAGGGTAGTGATAATTCTTTTTAGATTAGATTAAACACTTTTTTATCACTATTTATTGTCTTCTACTTAAAATGTATATGCTTTTTATCCATAATCCAAGTAAATTACAGGTAAAATACATTTGAAAGTAAAATAATAGATATCATTCCGTTAGTAGGCTATTTACAACAAAAAGGCCTAAAACAACTGTAGAGCCGCTCCAAACAATGGTCAAACTAAAATGCTGCTCAACTGCATATATAAAAGCCAAACCGGACTCATCATGTGCGTACAATTGCAAAGATATAATGCAATAGCTGACGACTAGAGACTGTCACGTGAGTAACAGAAAGACAAAATGCCTATGAAAAGATGTATTCATTGTCATGAAACTGCCAGATAACACTTTGTTTATTCAAAGCACTCGACATGTGACATTTGCACACACGCACGCACGCACACACACACACACACACACACACAAACAC